TACTGGTGTACTGACACTGACACGATTATGATTCTCAATTCTTTATTTTTATGAACGAACATCGTTGAGATGAGATAATTCGATCGAGCAGCTGTTGGTGTTGTATTTATCAAGCGTACATTTGAGCTCATTTGGATAAGCAATAGACGATTAGGTTCCATAGAAATATGTCGAGTTTGCAAAATCGATACATAGTATAATTCGTCAGCGTATTTTAAAATAAACTAAATCAGATACTTTGGCGAGACACGTGCCTCGCTGTACGTCACAGAATTGGAGACAATTGAATAAAATTATTTGAATTTCATAGCTCTTCTACACCGAATATAGTTAAAACTATTATACAAACCGATTGATCGTGATTGCCACCATGCTGAGCAGAGACACTGCCACATTTCCATAAAAGAAAAGAGGGAATATTTTGCACAGAGTTTCGCCCAGCACCCACGCCTCGTTTAAATATCTGCTCGCGGTCAGCGGTAAATTTACCGCGGAGAAAATCAAGTCCGAAATACTGAGACTTATCACGAAAGCGGTCGTAGCATGTCGCCTCAGTCTTGTGTATTTTAACAGTGCTATCACTGTTACCAAATTACCTGGAACACAAGTGAACGTTAAATAAAAAATGGGAAAAGGGTAAAACGAAAATGGTAAATGGTAAAACGAAAGCTAAGTTTTACGTAAGAATTTAATTTAGCAGTGCTTTCGCTGTTGCCAAGTTACTTGAGATTTAAAATTCTAAATTGGAGTAATTAGCATTTAATATATATATTTATATAATAGTAAAAAGGAGAAATTTACCATAACGCTGAAAGCATTCCATCGAAACAATTGTCGCGATTGAAGCATTGCTATTTTATCTCGTAAAGAGTGTATAGAAGCAAGTGAATAATTTAAGAAAGAGATATTAATCGTTTTAATTCCTGACTCTGTGGCATAAATTAAGAGCCGGGCGTTAATAGTCGTAAACCGAGAAATGCCACCCATGGGGGTTAACAAGAACTTAACCGTAGAATTTAAACGTATAATTAAGAATTCACTCGCTATAAATTTTTATCTGTACCCTAATAAAATTTCTGGAACATCTGGAGCATCTTCTAAGAATGAAATCTTTGCAAGATATTTATCAAACTTCACAGTCAAATTTAACTGTCGTACAGATTTGTAATAAATTAATAAATTATATAAATATAATATAATATATTTTAATTATATCATAT